TTTGTTTGTGTCCTCCAAGAGTCTGTTCCCCCAGTCCTGTGTAAGTTCTGGCGGCTCTTTGGTGGTGTTAATGGCGATCTCCTCCAAGAGGGCTTATACCGTACCAGGTCTGCTGCATCCAGACCCCCTGCCCCTGCTGCAGGTAACTGAGGACCCGTACCTCTGCAGGAGATGCTCTGGCTCTAATCTGATAGTAAATAGCAAAGTCAAACACAAGGACATCATCTGAGAGAATTCAAGAATCCTTGGGAGGATTTGTGCAACAGTCTGCAGTATTACCTCCAAAGATATGACACCCTATTCTCTCCTCTGCTTCTCCACTCCTGCCCAACTGCATTAGCTCCAAGTTTTGGATTTGTTTTTTTTTTGAAATTAACATTAAAAAAATACTTTGAAGCTATCTGGAGCTGAATCTCAGTTCCTTCAATTGCCAGCTGTGTAGTATTGCTCAGGTATTTACCTGTGACTGAATTTACTTGATACAAATTGGGAGGAGCTTTGTAAAGTGCCGGACACATGTTAGGCCCTCATTTAATCTTAGTTCTCTTTGTGTGTCCCCCATGTCCAACTCTTTGTGACCACATGGACTGTAGCCTCTGTCCATGGAATTTTCCAGGCAAGAATACTGGAATGAGTAACTTTCTCTTCTCTAGGGGATCTTCCCAACCCAGGGATCCAATTGGGTCTCCCGCACTGCAGGCAGATTCTCTACCATCTGAGTCACCAGGGAAACTCTTGTTTTTTTTAGGTGAAAAAAAAAAATCACCTTTTGTCTGGTCTTTAGAGACAAAGTTTTCTTCCTTTTTTTATCCTTCTGTCTTTTTTTTCTATTTCTCTTTCTCATTTCTAGTTTATTAGAATAATATCCTAGAACTCTGGTGGATTTTCTCTGTTATGTGGAGGCATTCAATTAAATTTTTATTATTCATCTAAATGGAAAAAATTGATTTTAACATTATTTTTTAATTAAGAAATTTCCCCCAGCTTTGTGAGCTATAGTTAACCTATAACATCATGTAAGTTTAAGGTGTGCAACTTAATGATTTGATACATGACTGTATTGTGAAATGATTACTATAATAAGGTTAGTTAACACATCCATCATGTCACATAGTCATAATTTGTGTGTATGATGAAAATTTTCAAGATCAGCTCTTTGAACAACTTTCAAATATGCAGTGCAATATTGTTAGCTGTGGTTTCCATGCTGTACAGTATGTTTCATTTAGAGAACCTGCTGCATAGGATAGGGGCTTCCTGCATGGCTCAGGGATAAAGAATCTGCCAGCAATGCGGGAGAAGTGGGTTCGATCCCTGGGTCAGGAAGATCCCCTGGGGGAGGGCATGGCAACCCACTCTAGTATTCTTGTGGGGAGAATCCCATGGATAGAAGAGCCTGATGGGTTACAGTCCATAGGGTCACAAACAGTTGGACATGACTTAAACTACTGAGCACTCAGACACACACTGCATATGTTAAAGGGAGAAGTGTTACTCAAATGAAGATTTCTTACTGGATATAACTTAGTGTTTCTTGTTCTGAGATGGACTGTTGCTGTTGTTTAGTCACTAAGTTGTGTCCGACTGTTTGCGACTTTATGAACTACAGCATGCCAGGATTCCCTGTCCTTCACTATCTCCCGGAGTTTGCTCAAACTCATGAGTCAGTGATGCCATCTAAGCATCTCATCCTTTGTCACCCCCTACTCCTCTTGCCCTCAGTCTTTCCCAGCATTGGGGTCTTTTCCAGTGAGTGAGCTCTTTGCATCAGGTGGGCCAAGTACTGGAGATTGAGCTTCAGCATCAGTCCTTCCAGTGAATATTCAGGGTTGATTTCCTTAAGGATTGACTAGTTTGATCTCCTTGCTGTCCAAGGGACTTTCAAGAGTCCTCTCCAGCACCACAGTTTGGAAGCTTCAATTCTTTAGTGCTCAGCCTTCTTTATGGTACATCTCTCATATCAGTACATGTCTAATGGCAAACTATAACACTGGGATGGGTATAGGGTACTTGTTTAAGTGTAAATATTAGCCTTGTTTCTTTTTAAAAGGAGAGCTGGCTTTCTGAGCTATCTTTCCTGAAGCCCAGTCAGTGTCTCCGTGCCTGCTATATGCTCTGCTCTGGGTTGAGGTTTTTGGGGAGGGGGTCAGATGCACAGAAGCTCTCAGGAGCATGTTCTCTGCATTCCTCCTTCCTGGTACAGGTCAGCCTGGGTGGAGTCAGCAGGAATGCTGGAGGGACCATGAGCTGGTGTCTGGCACAGGTAAATTTAATTGGTCATCATAACTAGAACTGGGTTCCTGGAGAGCCTAGTCTTTCACCTTCTCTGCAACCCTTCAGATGGTGAACCTTATACTAGAATGTGGGACACTGGGCTGTGATTCAAAATGACAAGGTTGGTGATGCCAAGAGCCTCTTCAGACTTTTGACTTGGAGAAAGGAGTCTTTTCTTAGAAATTTTTATATAGGCCAGAGAAGCGTCTTCTTACTTTTGGCTTAGGTTCTTTTGCTATAGGACCAGTTCCTTTTTCTTTCAGTGGCTGGTTTATGAGCTTCTGATTTTGCTCCAGTCATTAGTCTCTGGAGAATGAGGAATAAGATGGAATTGTCCCTGACTCCACCTCCCTTACAGAGTATGGTTATGAATGTAGATCAGTAGATCAGGGATCCCAAATTTTCAACTCAGTTCTGCCACTACTTACAATGTTTCTTCTTTTTCATATTTACACATTTTGTTTCCTGCCTGCCTGCAGAGTCAGTATGTTGTACGTGTTTAGTCACCCAGTTGTGTCTGAGTCTTTTGCAACCCCATGGACTATAGCCCACCAGGCACCTCTGTCCACGGGATTCTCCAGGCCAGAATACTGGAGTGGGTTGCCAAACCCTTCTCCAGGGTATCTTACCGACCCAGGGATTGAGCCCTAGTCTCCTGCATTGCAGGCGGATTCTTTATCATCTGAGCCACCAGGGAACCCGTAGTATGGTGTATACATTGTTCAGTATTAATAATCAAATGAGAGAAAAGCTCTTGGGTCCTCTTTCTTCATTTCTGTGTTATAGCTCTAATTGAGGTGACGTGATCATTGCCTTCTTGGCCCAAGCTCAATTCATTCATTCAGCAACATGTATCTTTTGAGCAACAACTCTGTGCCAAGCCCTAGTGATTTCTATGTAGACATGATAAATGAGAACCTGCCCTGATGGAGACAGATTGTAACCAAGTAAACAAATGAGATGATTAGAGATGATGATATTAAGAATGGTATTGAGAATGAAAGAAATCAGATGATGGGAAACTTAGTATGCTGCTATTCTTAGTCATTTTAATTTGGTTTATCAGAGGACTTGAAAATGGAAGGATAAGAGTGAGTCAGTCATAGGAAGAGTTGAGTGACGAACATTCTAGGGAAGAGACATGCAGAGAGGCATGGGATGAATTTGGCTTGTGCATGGAACAGAAGGACAGACCTGTGGCTGAAGTGGAGTGAGTAAGGGGGCCAGTGGGCAGAGGGGTAGTCAGAGGCTGGCAGGGTCGTTTAGGGGCTTCATAGATTTTTGAGAAGGAATTTGAATTTTATTTTTCTTTCAGGACTCTACCTTGTTCTTTCAAAAAATTGAAATATAGTTGATTTACAGTGTTTCAAGTTTATATTATATAAGCTTCCCTTGTAGCTTCCCTTATATTATATAAGCTTTACCTTGTAGCGGTAAAGAGTCTGCACGCAGTGCAGGAGACTCCTGGGTTGGGAAGATCCCCTGGAGAAGGAAATGGCAACCCACTCCTGTATTCTTGCCTGGAAAATTCCATGGACAGAGGAGCCTGGCGGCTATAGTCCAAAGGGTCGCAAAGAGTCAGACATGACTGAGCGACTAAGCACAGTCACACACACACACACACACATAAACACAAACATATATTGTGTACATATATTCTTTTTCAGAGAATTTTCCATTATAGGTTATTATAAGATATTGAATATTTCTTATACTATACAGTAGGTCTTGGATGTTTATTAAATTTGGATTTATTCTACGTGCAGTGGAAAACTTTTAAAGAGGTCTAAAGCAGTAGTATGATGTGAGCTTATTAAAGAAGAGAAAGATAAGAGTAACTTCAGCTGTTATGTGAAGAATTGAATGGCAAGTGTGAAGTGTGGAGGCGGGGACGTCCTGTGTGTGGCTGTGGAAATGGTGATAGGAATGTGAGGGAAGGAGGCTTTGAAGATTCGACTAGGTTATAGTGGGTTCCAGATAACTGGATGAGAAGCTTGGATTTGATTTTTGCAGCTATGAGGGAACTTTGTGTATGTGTAAGTTTGTGTGTGAGTGTATGTGTGTTTCTAAGTGTGTGTGTGTCTGTGAGTGTGTGTCAGTTTGTATGAGTGTGGGGAGCATGTGTGTATTTGTAAGCAGATGTGAGTGTGCCTGTGTGTGTGTGTTTGGGTTTTTCTCCTGATGCAACTTTTGAACAGGCCAGTGGCATAAAGAAAAGGCTGCCCGCTCTGCTGTAGAGAACAGTCTGGCGGCAGGGAGACTTGCTGGGTGGGTCGTGGAGTTGGGTGTGACATAAAGGCCCAGGGGTGTTAACGTGGCCAGCCAGGGAGAAAGACATGACTGAATCGGGCCAGTCCTGTTATTTGTTTCATTGTGCTTCTGGGTTGAATGAGACTGAAGACTCCTTTAGAGGAGTCACAGTTTCTTCAGATTAGCCCAGGTCAATTGCTAGCTGAATATTTTACTAGTCTTATTTTTTTTAGAAAAACTTACCTAAGTTAAATCTCACTTACATTCATGTGCTTGATTTCTCTGAAAGGAATTACATTAGTGAGCGTTAAGTGGAGTAGTTCTACTGCAGCCCACCCAAACTCCCCACTCTGTTGCAGGGAGGCATGCACACATGTGCTTGGGCACTTGCACACGCGCGCACGCACACACACATGTCTCTTTTATATTTAAAGTCTTGATTCCTGAGACATTCACTGTGTTTTTTGTTCCCCCAGGACATCTTTGAAGATGCTTTGGAAACCCTCTCTGTGTAAGTAGTAACATAATAAAAAGTATGTAGTAGAGAAAATTGATGATTTTCTTTAAAAAAAAAATTTCATTCTCGTGTTTTTGAGTATAGTGACTATTGTTGGAAAAACTCAATTCTCTATAATTTAACATTTAGGATGTGATTAAGCTTAAGAAAGGATCTATCCAAAGTTACTGTCAAATACATTTTTGAGTCAGATTTCTTGTAACCTTAAACTAAAATAAAAGAGAAAATGTTTTCCAACAAATTAAATTTTGTTTATAGCTAACCCTTTTATATCTTGCCCATATTTCTTTACATGGTTAGCCTCATATTGTAGATTTTTGCTTTTGGTTTGCACTTAGTTTTATTATAAGCATTTCCTATAAGCCTATATAATTTTCGTAATGATTTTAAATGATGTCATATTAGATCAAGTGGAACACTATAGTTTACTTACTCACTTCTCCTTTCTTAGACGTTTAGTAAAACTAAGTAGTGAATATTTTAATGGGTATTGCTTTTGTTATATTTTTGAATTGTCTCTGAGACTTTAACTTTACCTATGTAGAATTATTGGCTATAAAAGGGTGACTACTTTTATTGCTCTTTATGTGATATTTCTCAAGTTGCCTTTCTGTACTGGTCAACTCAGGCTGCCATAACAAAATACGTTGGGTAGCTTAAACAACAGAAATTAATTTTGTCACAGTTTTGGAGCCTGAAAGTGAGAGGTCAGGTTGTTAGCGTGGTTTGGTTCTGGTGAGAGCTCTCTGCCTGGTTTAGAGATGGTCACCTTCTCATTGTGTCTCCACAGGCAGAGAGAGAGAGAGAGAGAGAGAGAGAGAGAGAGAGAGAGAGAGAGAGGTCTCTAGGGGTTCTTCCTATAAGGGCATTAGTCATGAGGACACCACTCTCAGGATCTGACCTAAATCTAATTATCTCCCAAAGGCCTCATCTCCAAATGCCATCAAATTGAGGATTAGGGGTTCAATATGTGAATTTTGGGGGAATGCAATTCTGAGATGGTTGGATGATATCACTGACTTGATGGACATGAGTTTCAGCAAGCTTCAGGAGTTAGTGATGATAGACAGGGAAGCCTGCCGTACTGTAGTCCATGGGGTCGCAAAGAGTTGGACATGGTTGAGCGACTGAACTGAATTCAGTCCACAGCACTTTGAAAGAATTTTATCTTTTGAATTTTATCTTATTTTAGGTATGAACAATGTGTACATGTAGCATCATCATCCCTAGGTATTATTTGAAACCATTTTGCTGCTTAAAAAGTGAAAAGTATTAGTTGCTCAGTAGTGTCTGACTCTTTGCGACCCTGTGGACTGTGGCCCACCAGCATCCTCTGTCCGTGGAATTCTCCAGGCAATAATATTGGAGTGGGAAGTCATTCCCTTCTCCATAGGAACATCCTGACCCAGGGATCGAACCTGGGTCTCTTGCATTGCAGGCTCTTTACCGTTTGAGCCGTCAGGGAAGCCCTTTGCTACTTTAGTGATACCTAATTGTTTTGTTAAAATTTTTTTTTTTTTCTGGGAGTTCTCTCGTGGCCTAATGGTTAGGATTCCAGGCCTTCACTACCGTGGCCTGGGGTTAATCCCTGCTTGGGGAACTGAGATCCTACAAGCCATGTGGTGTACCCCTCCCACCCCAGTTTTTTTTTTTCTTATAGTCATTGTTTAGTCCATTGCATTCCCTTATGTATGAATTCTAGTCTTCTCTTCCCTATTTAACTTTTTTCTCACTGTTTCTCATACATATTTATGAACTTACATATATATATATACACCTTCATCTTTGGTTCTATTTGCTACAGATACTTTCCCTTAATTGCTATTTTTATGTTAGAGTTGTACATTTTTTTATTGTCCAGAAGTTTTTAGTGTTTGTCATTGAATGTATATGTGATTAAGAATAACTTAATTGTGATTAGGATTTAAAAAAATAAACTTGCTACTGTGCAATAGTTTCAGATTTACGGAACTATTATGAACATAGTATGGAAAGTATGGTATGGAAAAACATATATATAGTTTTGGAAAATCATAGTATGGAGAAACATATATATCCCACACTGGTTTTCCCTATGATTAATTTCTTACATTAGAATGGTACATTTGTCACAATTAATAATCTAATATGGATGTGTTGTTAGGGCTAAAGTCCATACTTTATTCAGATATCTTTAGTTTTTATGTAGTATCCTTTTTCTGTTCTGGGATCTCATTCAGAACACCACATTATAATTACTTGTCCTGTCTCTTTAGCCTACTCATGATTGTGACAGTTTCTCAGACTTTCCTTGGTTTTGATGACCTTGTCAGTTTTGAGACTACTCATTTGTTTTATGGAGATTTATCTGTATTTTTTTTCCCCTCATGATTAGACTGAGTTCATGTATTTTTGGAGGTAGACCACAGATGTAAAGTATCATTCTCATCACACTATATCAAAGGTACAAGTTATCAACCTGGCTTACTACTGTTGAGGCTAAACTTAATCACTTGGCTTGAGATAGTGTTTGTCAGGTCTTGCCACTGCAAAGTTACTTTTCCTCCCCTTCCCTTTTCATGCTGTACTCTTTGGAAGATAATCTGCTTGTGTAATTTTAAAAATTACTTTTAAGGTGAGTGCATTATTTGCCATCCAGAAATCTTATTCCTCTCTGCTGCTGCTGCTCTGCTCTGAGCATTGGCAGGAACTGAGCTTGAGGTGCATGGTAGGCTGAAATCCAGGGGTTAGAATAGGGTCTGACTGTGGGGCTGGCGACTGGAATTCACAGTGGAGGCTCTGCTGTTCCCAGTGAGAAACTGTAACACTGGACACACATCAGAAAGGGGTTCAGGTCTCAGAGATGAAAACAGGTCAGGCTGGTGTAATTGATGTGACCAGTGGGCAATGCACATTAAAACTTGTGTTTCCTTGAATTTTCACTGGTTGTATTAAACTGGCAGTGGCTTTACCTCTGGGTTTGAAAGGCATTGTCAACAATTTCTAACACTGACTAGTTTTTAAAAAATCAAATTATAGGGAAAAAAAAACCTTCTGAACTTGACTTCTGGTTTATGATTTTGCATGTAAGGAGCTTGAAGTCACCACTCTGTCCTAACAACAAGTAAAGAGCTTAATGGACTTGCACAATCCACAATTCATTTTGGAGCCAAAGGAAAGGGAAGGATACAGGGCAGATCCCTACTCCCAATACTAGAGGGTCAGAAGGGCAAATACAGGGACTATGGTGTACAGAGCCAAAGCCAGGACTGGAAGACCTCAGCTGTGATGGATGAATTGGTGGAGGCTTAGTGTGAACAACTCTGGGAATTAAGAACCACAGGGGAACCCCTCATGTGAAGCCCCCTCCCCTCCTAATGTGAGATTTGCCTCTGGAAGCTCTACCAGATTCCCACAGTAGACAGAGGAGAAAAAATCTCTTTGGGCATCCTGCAAGGTAAGGAGAAAAGAAACCATTCTGAAATATACCAGAGTTGACTATTCTTAACAAGACTTACCCTCAGGGGAGAGTAGTTAACCAGAGTGAACTGAACTGACCTGACCTGGCAACTCCAGCCCACTCTGGCCATCCTGTCCCATCTACATTAGAAGAAAAACTGAGAAACACTTGAGAAGTTCCCAGTCCAGAGATACAGGCTCTCTTAAGGACTGTGACCTAGTCTTAGGAGTGTAGAATGTTTCCCCTCCCCGACCCCTCACCACCATGTGACCACAGGCTGATTTACAGCAGGTCCTTTTATCATGTACATCATATTTAACCACCAAGAAAGATTACATGGCAGACCAGTAGGCAAAAAACACAGTTTGAGGAGGCAGAGTAAACATCTAAACCAGACATAGCAGGGATGTGGGGGTTTCAAACAACTATGGTGAATATGCTGTGGGCTCTATGGGTGAAGTAGAGAGCCTGTCTGCAGGAACAGCTGGGTAGTGTAGACAGAAAAATAGAAGTCAAAGTCAACGTATGGCAAAACCAATACAATATTGTAAAGTAAAATAAATACATTAATTCATAAAAAAAAACAAAGAACCAAAAAGAAATGCTCGAGATCAAAACACTCTAAAAGAAATGAAAGCTGCCTTAGATGAACCATCTAATAAGACTGGACGTGACTGAGGAAAGAGTCTCTGAGCTAGAAGCTAGATCAATATAATCCTGAATAGAATCCTCAAGAACTGAAAAGCAAAGAGAACAAAGACTGATAAAAACAGAACAGAATATCCAAGGACTGTAGGACAAGTACAGCAGGTGTTGTACTTGTCTGGGAACACTAGGAGGAAAAGAAAGGAACAGAAGAATATTTGAAACAATAATGTTTGATAATTTCCACAATTAATGTTAGACAGCAAACCATAGATCCAGGAAGGTCAGAGAACACTGAATAGGATGAACACCAGAAAATAACCTCTAGATATATCTATCACCTGCAAACTATAGATAAATTCCTAAGATAAATTTCTAAAAGAAAAAACACACCTTACCTCTAGAGGAGCAGAGTTAACTTCTCATCAGAAAACAGGCAAGCAAAAGAAAGTGGAGTGAAATATTTGTGTTGAGAGAATAAAACCACCAACCTAGAATTCTGTACTCTGAAATTATCTTCAAAAGTAAAGGAGAAGTAAAAGCTTTCTCAGGTGAACAAAAATTAAGGCAAGTTGTTACCAATAGATCTGCCTTAGGAGAAACATGAAAAGAAGTTCTATATAGAGAAGGAAAATAGTATGTAGAACCTCAGATCTACATAAAGAAAAGAAGAACATCAAAAAAGGAATAAGTCAAAGTAAAATAAATCACATTTTCATATTCTTAATTGATCTAACAGATAGCAGTTTGTTGAAAATAATACCAACAGTGTATTTGGTTATATATACTTACGTTTATATCTTTGTGTGTATATATATATATATATATACACACAAAAGATATGTATTTATATGCTTGTATGCTTATGTATGTATGCTTACATATTAGTGAGATGAATGACAACAGTGAT